GTCGATTTGTGGAAAATTCAGCTGCTAATGCCTACCTTTCGATTTTGTGAATAGCGTTTCTCTGTATCGGTCAGTGTTCGGCTGACGTAATGGACAGGTTGAAATCCTTCTGCTGTCTTTTGGAGTAAGGCTCCACCAAGGCCCTCAGGATTACCATCGACAATGACTAAGGTTTCTCTTCCTAGTTGACATGGAATGAGAACTGGTGCTGTTGTTCGCGCCGTTTTCAGCCCGGTCGCTCAAATGCTCTTTGTTGCTCTGGACCCCACTCGAACTTGGTGTTGGCTTTGGTCAGTCTTCTTAGAGGCTCGCATCTACCTGAGAATCGATCGATGTACCGACAAAGGTATGCAACCATCTGTAAAATTGATACCAATTCTTCTTTGGTGTTGGGTTTCTGGAAGGCGTTGACAGCATGGACCTTGATGGCACTCGGCTTTAATCCTTCTGCAGTGAATAAGTGGCCATGGAATTCAAGTGTTGACTTTCGGAATTCACATTTCTCTTGTCTTGTCTTAACGTAATGTTGTAGTCGTTTAGTCGTCCCAGCACTATCTTCAGGTTTTTGTCGTGGTCAGCAAGATCTACACCTCCAGTCATAATATATATCATCACGATTGTTCAGTGTTCTGGGAATACCCGATAGGATCTTTGCCATCTCGCTATCGAATAGGTCTTGATTGTTGACTCCCCCAAACGCAAGACGTTTGTATCGGTAATTTGCCCATGGCGTTGAGAATGTCATGGCTTGTCTGGACTGGGGATCAATGACAAACTGGTGGTATCCATGGTTGAGGTCCAGCTTGCTGAATATGCGGCAATCCTTAAACGCTGTAATAAAATCTGCTGTAATGGGTGCTTGGACTTGGCGAGTTCGTAACATGGATTTATTCAGTGTTCGTAAATCCAAGCTGAGGCGTATTCATTGGGATTCTTTGGTTTAGGTTGTACAACCGTAGGAGAACACCATGTTATAGGTTCTTGATCAGGAACTTTCTCCATGATGTCTTGTTCCACAAATTGTTGGAGTCGTTTCTAAAGAGGTTCCATTAGGTGGTATGCAATCTCGTCTTGGTTTTCGTGCAACTGGTTCAGCGTCTTCATCCATTGGTAAATGTAACTGAATCTCCTCTCCATTGCGGGTCGCTCTGCCAATTCCATGAAATAGATCTTGATGTGGTTGAGTAGCTCGTCAACACTGGACTGTGTTTCTTGTAGTTTCCGAATATTGCGAGTACTGTAGGGTTTGTTCGGTTCTTTAAGTCGTCCTATTTCATCAATCTTCACCATGCCCAATTCTTCTAGGGTTGCTCGTCCAAGTAAAGGTAAGGGGTTGATTTTCTCTTTAATGATAACTATTGGTGCTTGTGTTATGCGTGTCTCGTTTTCAATATGGTCACAATGCATTCGCCTTTAACCGGTAGCTTCTCTTTCAGCGTATTTAGCTTTACTTTCGACTCGTATAGTTGTATCTCTGGTGACTTGGTTTTCAACTCTTGAAGTTGTATTTCATCCATAATGTTAGAGTCTGCACCTGTGTCTGGTTCAACGAGTGTTTTATGACCATTTATGTAAACAACACAGGATAAACTCGTTTCAACCCCTGTCGTCCTGTGTATCTTTAAGTGGTTTACCAAGTTGCTATCACTTGATGTGCTGCTTTTGGTACTCGGGCTTCGATCTCAATTGTAGGTAATATGCTTGACATTTTTAGTTTCTGGCATTTTCCTGTCTCTCCGATTTCTTTCTCCCGATGTTGATTGTTGTGTGACGCTTGTGTCCTTGCCTTTGAATTGTTGTTGTTGTCTGCCATTTGAAAATCTTTCCGCGGGCTTCGATCGACATACTTTGGCGTAGTGGTTACGTTTGCCACATGCATTGCAAAGAGTTCCCATTGCTGGACATTGTTTGTGAGCTCGGGATATCCACAACGGTTGCAAGGATTTGTTGTTTTTTCACAGGTCGATGATGCCCTTTGTTCACGGAAAATCTGAGACGAAGGTCGTTGTCGTTGTTGTCGATAATTTTGGACTCGTTTGATTGTTTTGTCTGAATTTACTTTCTTCTCCATCTCTTTAGCTTGGTTCGGAATTCCTCGTCCAACTCAGCTTCTTCTAGAATTTGGTCGAGCGTCCAATTCTTGCGTATTGCTTTGATGCGTACGACATTGTTCGTCATTGTTTTTATTAAGTGGTCTCTAATAGCTTCGCTCTCGTTTGAGAAACTGCATTTCTTTGCTATTTTCCTGATGCGTGTATAGTATCGAACAAGCGATTCGTCGTGGTTTTCCTTCAGATTTCCGAACTGAAATCTAGCAAAATCTTTGTTCTTCTTTGGTAGAAAATGCCTGATGAGCATGATTATGAGTTGTGCATAGGCATCTTCACCGGCTTGGTCGCCTGTAGCGTCGAGAAGTGTGTCTTCTAAATCTGCGATTGTTTGACCGCTGTCAATGATTAAACCATCTTTCTTCATCTCTGGGTCTGCGATCCCAAAGTGGCGAAACTGTCTTTCGATATTTCGTAGCCATTTCTCCCATCCTGAAGCAATTTCAGTGCGATTTACGTTGCTCTGAAATGGTCTCACGTTGAGTTGGCGGTTGGTCACGCTTATATTATTTACGCTCGCGTTCGTCTCAGAGCTAGAACCTTTTTTCTTCTTGTCGTGGCTCATAATTTCTTGCTCTAGATCAATCTTTAGTACATCCTCGTCGCCAATGTAGTAAATTAAATACTAGTATAATAGTTCTTCCAGGAAGACAACTCTTCGCTTAACGTTTTATTCTATACTACAAATATACTCAGGTTACACAATAACATGCTCATGCTAATCATGCATAATTAATTGTACATTAGTTCCTGTAAGGTTTATGATTGGTTGTTACACCGTACTAGGGCAATAACTGCTGCTGATGCATCATTTACAATCTCAGAGACCATGATTTGGCCAACAATTTTTCCAGGATCCTATTTAATCCATACACTTCCATGTTTGTAGAAACTCCTCCTGTTTCTAGTTTGTCTACAACTTCTACACCAACAACGACTTCCAGGTGTTGTTCCATCAATGCATACATGCACAGTACTTTGCACTATGGTCAGGAGAATCATTCCTGCCATCTCTGTACAGTATTGTTGATTAGCCAGTCAAAACATCCCAGATTTTATTTTTCAGTTCTTCCCAATATATCTTCACTTCAGGTAAGACGTAATTAGTTTGTACTCGGTTGTATGTATTCTTAGAAATGAAGCTAAGTCCAAGAAATTTGCTGAGCAACTCTGTTCAATTATTGCCCGAAATCAATACTGCTGCAGCTAGCAACAATGTATTCCCATAAATATTTTGACCATTCTTCTCACAAAGCTTTCGCGAAGATGTCCAAAATTCAAAATGGCCTTCAGAACATTCCCATGACACTTTAAGAACACCAGCATCCATATACGTCTTCACCCCTCTGCTTGTTCCTTGGCAAGATGGATGCTAACAACTATTATTAAATATCTCCATTATTGTAGAAACATCAACAATCACACAATCTTTCATACAATGCGCAGCAGGCATACTGTTATTGTTCTCAGATTGATGCAATGAATTGAATGCTGTTTTCAATTTCTGTTTAAGTCTTTGTGTCCTTTCTTCAAAGCTTTCTGGCTTTTGCTGAGTATAAATTATTCCACTATCTTCTGAATAATTTATAATTCATGTCTTTTTGAACAACATTGGTGGAATCAGGACTATTATGCACATCGAATTATATGACACTTAATGTTTCTTCATCGTCAGCTTCTTTTGCAAAACTGAAAACCCAAAATATATTATGTATTAAAAGACATGATGGGGTGATTCCCAAAATTTAATTGTGTATTCTTTTCAAATTATTTGCTGTTTTGAGTAGAATACACAATTAATTTGGTTTTTTTTTGTTAATGGGTTCCTTTTTGTTGACACCGAGCAGAGAGAGAGGTGAGGACCGAACAGGATCCACAGGACAGTTTCAAGAAACTTACAAAAGCTATTAGCTTATGTAAGGAAGTATGCTATGGGGAAAAAATACTAAAATACAATAAACATGAGGATAAATTATACTTACTCATCTTCATCGTTACTGGAAAATTCTAGGTTTTGTTGTGTCTCTAGGAAGCTTTCACCAAAATCGGAACTGTTCTCGCTTTAAAACAATACAGAACTGCATATTAACACTTGGAAATCCAATCAATTCAATAGTGTGCAACCTCGTTCCCAGGGCTTTTCCCTTTTTGTCATTGGGAAGACGGGAAAAGGCCCTGGCACCGGCCGGTCTTCAATGCATTCTGATTGGTCAATGACAAGTACATTATTATGCAAATAATGCAATCTTGGATTATTTTATTCAAACTTTGGGATAAATTAACATTTTCACGTAAAGAGTGTCCATTATTAATACTTTGTCCGTCTAAGAAATATTTTTGGCAAAATCTGTGGCAAAATGGTTAAATTCGATAAGATTTATACACAATTTGTCGAAGGTTAGTATTATTGTTTGTTTTAAACTGTGAGAGAAGATTAATTGTGCACTAGAACACACCTCTGAGGCTCTGACCGAGTATTTAGGGCAAAACTTTTAAAAGTCTGGGTTTATAAACTGAAACATGACCTTTAGTTTTTGATATTCTTCATAGTCGAGTTTAAATTGGCCTAATTTAAACTTACCCCTAGAAATGCCACAATATTTTGTTATATCATATATGCAAGTAATGCAACAGTGTTTACAACTTTTGAATATGTGAGTTGGTTTTGTTTCAGATACTATTACATGTTGCTTCATTTTACTATAAATTGTAAAAAAGTGATTTGCTCATTTGGCTGATGTTACAGTTTTCTGATGTGTTTTGTTTGGATGATATTATATTAGAACAATTTCAATATGAAAGTGAAGGTGTCTTTAGACATGAGCCATAATGTATATATCAAAATACTGACAAAATCCGTTTCCAGCTTGATTGTATTTGCATTGTTGCAGACAAAGTTGTGCAATAGTGGGCTTATGTCACATACTCGTATGTAATTCCATGTGCATGCTTGTACTTTGATGCCTCAAGAGATGCTTCGAATGTGTAATAAAGGGCTGTTTGCAGGAGTTGGGCTGTCTGGCCTTAAATTGCATTGTTTTTATGATATTTTAAGATTGTATTCATATGGCTGGACCATCTTGCCATTGCCTGTCTGATGTTCAAACAGGCTTTAAAGTCAGGTTACAATGCATGCTTGAAAATATGCAACAATTTCACTGCTAATAATATTCCAGAAAATCCTGCCTCTTGGGCAGATCTGGACTGATTTGTCAGAGGGGATTGGAGGTTTTCTACTTGTGATCGGGCAAGGAGAGCTAGCCAAGGGTGCTGGGTCAGAGTCAAACTCATGCGAACAGCTTGTAAGTCCTAATTATATTGATAAATTATGTACACTTTGGGATGGTAATGCAATTTGTAAAATATTCCACATTTTAATTAATAAAATTTAATTATATACATTGTTTTTGTTGTTTATATTAATACCTTGGACAGTGTATATTTACACCTTTGGACCCTGTAAATAAACTCCTTTGGAGGGTGTACCCATTCTAAGCCAAAGGGCAATGTGTTCTACTTTAATTAATATATTACTCCTCTGGTGCCAGACAATTTTACTCAAGGGCAGAATGTACACTTGCCACAAGTCGACCTCGAACGAAACGTCGGCTCACACTCGCTGCTTGCGTTTCGTTCGAGGTCGACTTGTGGCAAGTCTAGGCAGAATTCTGCCACTCAATGAGTTAATATATTCTCAGAACAGTTACCATCAAATTAAATTGTTGTAATATAGGGAATATAATTCTAAGACAAATCATCCAAAGGAAGCAATCATTCTAGCTCTTATAGTGTATGTTGCAACAGGGATGGATTTACTGGTGGGAGGGGTGCACCCCCCTAGCCCTGACCAGAGGGGGTGCAGGGGGGAGCTATTTTTCATGATAAAGCAACAAATTATTACAGGCAAGATGAGATACAGTAATTTGAGTTTACTAATAACATGATGATAAGCGAGCTATGAACAACAATTAGAATTCAAATACAGTAGTAAAGCAAGACTTTGCAGTAGTGAAGCAAGTTGATGGGCGGGCGGCACACATGACCGACACAACTTGGCACCAGTGCTGGCAGGGCACCCCCCCCCCCCTACCAGATCATGCTGGATCCATCCCTGTGTTGCAAAATGTATTTTCTTCATAGTCGGGCATTCACATGAATGAAGATTAGAATTGCATCATGTTATATAGTCTTAACTAGAAAATACATGCATGCAGAAACCCTCGCCTTGCTGACAAAACCGTTGTATTTTCCGAACATGAAGTATCTAAAGTAGTTGTCACGGTAACACGATAATTTTTTAAGAATATTCTTACAAATGAAAATCGCCTAAAAATATCACTTTTAATTACAAAATTATCAATTTCCCAACATATTTATGTTAGGTATGTAATTATACGTAATACAAGCTTCAATTTAAAGTAAAATTCAACCACAAGCAATTCACAAAACGTTTTAAAGTGTTCTTTATAAAACTAAACTGCTTTTAACTATTAAATGGCTTTATCGATAAACTTTGAGTTTGCAATAAAATGATTTCAAATTCTCGCTTGCAAATAACTTTGCTTTATTTTTTTATTTAAAAAATTCAATATAATAAAAAAGGGAATCAATATTAAAGATACACTGAAATTATATGCTGTCTTGTTTAGTTGTTTCATATACGCAAAGACCGTCGGGTTTTAAAGCAATTATAAAATCAATATTTAAAACAAACTTACCTTCGTTAACGTCGGCTCCCTTCTTTTAGCTGATTCTTTCGCCCTTTCTTTCTTGAAATTTTCAAAATCTTGCAGAAATACGAGCAAAATGAAGAATATTTGCAAGAAATTAGTCAATCATCAACTCATCAAATCAAGATATGTTTGTTGTTTGCTATTTCGCTGTCGTCATGCAGCCGTTATAATGCAAACTTTAAATTGGACCAATCAGTGTCTGTTATTCATAACAGTCCGCCATATTTTTGAGATCAGTGAGGATGACCACCCATCGTTGGTGACCGACGCCCGCGCTCATTGATGAACTTTAGACTTCCCTAATGCTTTCGTTTCCCCGGGTGTAAATAGCCGGGGGGAATTAGTACCCTCGCACGGCGCTTCGCGCCGCCGGCTCGGGGAATATTTAGGAGGGGTCTACATTATTAAATTAAGAGATTAAAAAAGGGTCCCATGACATTTTGACATAAGAATCTCCCACCCCCACCCTAGTGTATAAAGAATGGTCACTTAAAGTACATGCCATCTTCTAACTGGTTGGGCACCTTGCCCCTTTTGTTATGGAAAATCTATTCCCTACCTTTATCCCCTGGGACAGAAAATTCAAATCAACTCTCCACCTTGATAATGTGCAGATGGTAACAGCAAGAATTGAAGCAAGCAAGCTTTACTGGAGTGCATACTATTATTAAGGCCCTGTTACACGGTGCAATTTTTCATGCAACTTGTCTCGCAATGGCGGTGCGAGACAAGTCGCACGAGTCATTGCACCGTTTAACATGCCTTGCAATGGTCAAAATCGTTGCGAGACAAGTTGCATGAAGCATTGTAGAGAGTAGAAGTCTGTCCTACTTTTGGCAACGATTGCACGAATTATTTTTAGCATTGCAGCTTGTAGCATGGCTTCGTGCAACTTGTCTCGCAATGTTTAATGCTTGGAGAGTTCCTATTGGCTCTCACCAGTACACACTTTACTTTAATTAAAATTTGGCGTCAAATAGTGCCTCTCCCTATTCTCTTCGCATGCCTCTGTCCCGTATCGTTGCGAGTTGAATGAATATCATTGCAGCGTGTAACACCTCTTGCATGCAATGCATTATCAAAATCTTTTTTTTAAACATTGCAAGACAAGTTGCATGAAAAATTGCACCGTGTAACACGGCCTTTAGGAAGCATCAGTTCGCACATGCTAATTTGCCAGTCATGATTTTAAACGTAATATTTCTTATCTCATATAGAATTCTTAAGGTCTTGCTTACATTTTACTGGAAGCAACTAAGATGCATATCCAATATTTGGGTCATATTACTCATATGTCAGTTTTGCAGCTTGCCAGCTTCAACAACATTGGGCTGCAAGGAAAACGTAAACAAGGAAAGAACATATAACACTTCATCTGTGTTTAAAATATCAATGAATAAATATTCCAACCATTGGCACTTTATAATATAAGTGACATTCAACAATAGATCAATAACATATACAGTATATGCAAAAACATTTCTTTGAATCACCGTATAAAATATTCCTCATAAACTCGCTCCAATCGTCGCACAGCAGAGTCTTTGGAAGGGTAAAACCAAGTTTACCATCCTCGGTTCAAAACACTTTCCGTGTCCTCAGTCTTCTTAGGCAAGCCTGTCCAGCTGGAGAACATTTGCTGTTAATTTTGTTTAGCGAACGAACGATATTTACCAAACCCAGTTGGAAGAACAGCAAGTACATAGTTCCCTTGTAATAAAAGCTGAATAATTGATTGCGAGTACGTCGGTAGCGAAAAGGAGGAAAACTAAACGCATTTTTAAGCCGTTCTAAGCACTTAAATTTTGTGGACACTCTTAGGTTGGCGGCCATCTTGGATTTTCTAATCATTATTATTATAATTTATTACACCCACTATATCTGGGTGTTGAAAGTCATGTGACCGGCCGGTGCCAGGGCCTTTTCCCGCCTTCCCAATGACAAAAAGGGAAAAGCCCTGGGAACGAGGTTGAATAGTCTGTAGATGTATAACATAACCACTAGTGTAGGAGTTTGGATGCTTACACTTTCGTATGTATTTATCATAAGATATTCTGCAAATTCGCTATGCGTTTTCGTCCAGAACCCAACAGAATCCTTTTTTGTAGTCCACATGACATATATGTGCTTGCTTAATCTTATCCGCACCAATGCTTCATCTTTCTTTGGCCGTCCACGCTTCGGAGGCGATGCGTCAGCCATGACTTGGAAGGAAATACACCAGTTTATCGGAAATTACGTCGTATTATATTTATAAAAACAAGCAAACAATTCTTCTAACATGATCTACGCTCCAAGGGTAATACAAAAAAATATTAATAATTTACTAAAAAATACATGCATGCAGAAACCCTCGCCTTACTGACAAAACATTATGTTTTCTGAATATGAAGATTTGAAAGTAGTTGTCATGGTAACACGATAATTTTAAGAATATAGTTTTAAAATTGAAAAATCCCCCCAAAATATCACTTTTAGTAACAAAACTATCAATTTCCCAAACATATATATGCCTGGTATGTTATTATACGTAACATAAGCTTCAATTTAATGTAAAATCAACCACAAACGCTTCCCAAAACGTTTTAATATCCTTTTAAAACTAAACGGCCTTTTATCGAATTATCGCCTATCGGTAAACGTTGAGTTTGCAATAAACTGTTTTCAAACACTCGCATGAAAATAACTTTGGTTTCCTCTTTATTTAAATACTTTAATATACAAAAGAAAGGGTAATTAATAAAACTACACTGAAATTATATCCGGACCACAATAATTTGGATTTTTCCACTTCACTTGGTGGAATTAATATTAGAATGTTAGGGTTTGTAATCCAAGTGAGAATATGTACATTTTAAGTCCTAACCAGGAACGACTGCGAAAATGCAGCACAAGGTCCTCTGGTAGGAATTGAACCTACAGTCCCGCGATTCCGGTGCAGCGCTCCAACCAACTGAGCTACAGAAGCCAGCCGTTGAGCTGTAACCGCAAGTTCATGTATATACAGGTAATCAGGTGTGAGGGTTGTGATAAGATGGACCACAATAATTTGGATTTTTGCACTTCACTTGGTGGAATTAACATTTTCCCACAAGTGAAGTACAAAAATCCAAATTATACAAGAAATTTCCTTTGTCCCTTTGACATATTAGGTGTATCGAGGCCGTGAGCTGAAATGACATTGAGCATAAGGTTCCAGGGGAACAGTTTGTGGATTCCATAAATCATGTAGAATACGTAGTAACGGTTGATAATCTTGATATACTCGTAGTAAAGTGTAGACAAAGTTTTGAATGTAGACAAAGTGCCGAATGAAATCTTTATGATTTTCTACGTTTAGGATTTTGATAGCAGCCATGAATTCGTCCATGTGGAGGACGTGTTGTTAGCTTGTTCTATAGTGTTTAACCCGTGCATTTCCCAAGTTTCTTATTCGCATGCTACATTCTTAGCGTAGATTATTTCCACTAAGTGAAATATTGAACCATTCATCATCAGAGATATACTTTTTAGAGATTATCTATTTTTGGAAAAAGAACGTTTAGAGGAATTAAAAAATTAGAAAACGCTTGCGTAAAATTTAATTTATTTAATGTATACCATTTGTTCCATAACATTTGTCGCGGAACGCCTTTGTTCCTTGTCGCATAGCATTTGTTCCACAACATTTGTCGCGTAACGTGTTTGTCCCATCACATATGTTGCATAACACGTATGATTTGACCTTTGGTGGTGTGACTTAATCTTGGAAACCAACGAGAATTTTGTGCACTTTTTGCGCCAAGAGGACACACATAAATGTGTGTGACGGAGCGTTTTGGTGGAAGAGCGAAGAGCAGAGGCTGAGAGCAGGAGTGAAGAAAAAGCAAGAGCGAAGGAACTGCGTATATGGATAGACGTGGAAACACACAACTAGAGACACAGGAGGTATCGGGCAAGTCGTAGGTAACAATGGGAGGAGAGGAACATAAAGCTCGCGAATTTGCGCGAATTTTATGGAGTTATGTTGGACTTCTTTTTTACAGCAGTTGCTTTTTACGAAAAGGGAGGATCTACAGGGACCGTCGTGAGGCGTATGATACAGTCAAATTGCTGGAGAATTTGCGGGTGCTGAATCTTCAGTGAAGGCGAACTAATCGGAAGAAAAAAAGGAAAAGAAGGAAAGAAAAAAATGCTCTTTTAAGAGCCACCAAATCTATGAAAGAATATGAGCGGTTTGAAATTGTGTATACATTCTTTTTATGTAGGTGAATTATTTGCAAGGGAATTTTTATGCCGGTAAATTGAACAGTTATAAGGAAATTTTTATACGTTTCATTGAATATTTATGAGGGAATTTTTATGTGTGATTTGAATATTTAAAAGACAATGTTTTACGTGTGAGGCAAGTGCAAATATCGTATTCGTTTGAATTCTTTTATATATTTGTTGGTTCCTAAAGGAACCTGTTTTTTTTCTTCTCTACAGCTGCTCTTCCAGCCAGAATCCGTGCGCTTTCACTTCAACTTTGGGACAGTACTGGTACGCGTCGACTGTCAAGGTTTCTAACCATATCATCTGATCAAAAAGTTTTTGCTCTTTTGGGCAACCGAAGCATTCTAGGTTTAAGGATGGAATGTTGAGATCTGCCAACAGGTTTTTTTCGTAATTCCCGCCCTTGTATGCAATGAGTGAGTTCTTGCGCATGTTATCGTAGAGGTTTCTGACTGTTTCCTTTAGGGCTGATAGCAGGATGGCATCAATTCCAGCTGGCACATCGAAGGGGAGTTTATGGATGTGGGTCTGTACGTATTTGCACCTCCTTAGGTCTTTTAGTGTCAAATCACGCCATCGCAGACCGACGTCGAAAGAGAAGGATTGTGCTGTAGCATCTCCCATTTCTTTACAGAGAAATTTTCCATTTACAGGAAATCCGTCCATATCGATAATTGCAGCGATATCCATAAGACAGTAAAACATTTTGAAATGTTGAACATGATCTTTTCGATTCGCTTTATATCATTTTAATAGCGTTGTCGCATAACACTTATCACGTGAAATTTGTCGCATTGCATTTGTCGCATAACTTTTTTCACGTGAAACATATCGCATAGCGTTTGTTCCATAACGTTTATTGCATAACATGTATGATTTGGCGGGTTGAGTTTCTGTATAGAAGGCAAAAAAGTAAAGTGTATATTTTAAAGTTATAGCGATGGAGTGTATGCATGGAAACCAGGTTCCAATTCAACTACAGACAAGGGTTCCTTTCAGTTTTGTGGACAGAAGCCCAGCTGTGGATTTATATGTACAGAAGAGAATGGTACGTTATCTGTTCCAGACAGCTCTGGCGGCTAAGAGGGCCACGAGTTTGACGTAGCCGATAAGTGAGAGCCACCGAAAGCCAGCGAAGTTTCGTGTAGTTAAAGACATGCTGAAAACGTCTTATGGGCGACCGTATTTACGTGTGCAAGTCGGGAGAATCCTAGTTCATTATGGATCGGATGTGTGGCAGACGAATAAGAGGTCGAGAAACCGAATATATTGCTATCACAACGAACCGTGCGCCGTGAAGCGAGTCAAGAAACAAGGTCCCAATACGTATAAAAAGTTATCCTGTTGCTGCAATGAGAATCGATGTGATTAGTTATTTTGAATGGGGTCCAGAGGAATTGCCGAAACTGCCTGATACTATGGCGCCTTTCGTACCGTTGTTTTACAGTCGTTATTATCCAGATCCCCAGCAGAACTGAAACATTTATAAACATTTAACGTATAATTAAAGAGCTTTGTATTATCATATATATATATATATATATATCGAAGCCTATGAAATTCGTAAATATACG